CATTATGCACGCGGCGTCTGGGTTGGTGAAAACCAAATCGGATTTCGTGTCAAATGGCGATATGATGTCACTCAGGACATGCATTATTCACGTGACTTGTGCAGTACTGTAACCGCCTGTTCTATCATTGTTCGTTACGAGTGGAACAAAAACAAACAGAATCATATGTTGATCATTCTGTTCACACGCTGGAGCTCGATAAACAAAATATGGCCTTTTTACTTAACTAATTTTGTTCACAGTTAATTATCAACGCTATGAAAACTGTCATAAGATAAAATGATACCAGTGATTGAAAAACAGAATACAGTCTGCCATTTTAGTTGGAAAAAAATAATCAGGCTAAATGAGAACTGTATGGTTCATTGTGAGCTCCCCAGACACAAAACAGACTTGTCAAGTTCCCTCATTTGGCAATTCACTGTTGGCTTTCGATTCTCCTAGAACCTGTCTATGCGGGGCGATCACAATGAAAATGGCTTTCGCCGTTACTGATATGTGCACCGATTGGCTCTAAGACTGTCAGTACGTCTGTTGACTATCTTTTCGCAGAAAATTAGGCTTCACAAATTTCACTAGTCTATACTTCTTCTACATCCCCTCTCACAAGATTTCAGTTCAGTCATTTTTTTTGGCACCCTCAGATACGGATATTGTTCATTTCTGTTCTTTAACTCCGAGCTGATGAACTAGTTCTGTACTGTCTTCCTGTTTCTTTTTCGCGAGGAAACTGTTAGTTAGTTTCCTAGCGTGATAAAGAAACTTCGGAGGTGAAACTCCACTCTCAGGGAGCAGAAGGCTACGAACACGCACATATCGCGCAAGCCACAGTTAATAGCCACCATTTCGAAACGGTAAGGTATATTTACTTTTTCATTCTACTTTTATTTTATTTTATATGTATTTAGGATTCCACTCTGGGATTGAAAGGAAGACGATATTCGGACATATTATCCAAGACCGGGCATAATTTGAACAATGATACGTTTGGGGAAGATTCAGATGTGTATTGTTCCTCGCGTCAACTGTTATCCAACTCTACCCATGGTCATTGTCGCCTATCCACATACCATCGAACGAGACCAACCGAGTTGGAGTCGGAGCTTGCTACGAACGAGCCCGGGAGCATAGTGGTTCCCGTTGAATATGTGACAGTAGAGGTAAGGTTAATTGTGGTAATGAGTCTGTGGCTAATATTTTATTGTTATATTAACTTGCTTTCTGTTAGCATTTAGGTTTGCATATAGGTAAGTCGTGGAACGTTTTTCTTTTTTATAAAGATTATTGTACCATTTGTTTGGCACAAAGTCTGGCCTCAGACGTATGCGAAATACAAATATGATATAATATATATATATATATATATATATATATATATATGCATTTCAGTAAAAGTACTACACTCTACTACACAATGAGAAGTGATTGCAGTCAAATAACCTTTGAACAAAACAGGTCAAATGAGGGATTAGAGAGTTTCTGTACACATTTCTTCTGCCATTGGTGGAGTGACTGTATGTGAAAACGAGAGCAGGTATTTGAGTGGGATAGGTAGTCAAAGTCATAGTTTTATTCTGGTGAATACTTATAAGCGGTTGCTTTCCTTGTCCCATAGACTTCAGCACAGATGGATCGATTTACTTTTCATGGAAAGATGAGGAATGTCACAAATTATCTTTATTTCGTGCACTGCTACCGATGTCAAAATTTAAAACGTCTTATTTTCATCCGGTTTGTGCTTGAAGGAATCAATTATGGGTGCAGAAACAACGTGAGGTGATAGAGAATCCCAAATACTGCATACTCTGAGGGCAAATAAATGACGCCGGCATTCTAGTCGACATTTTTGGAGCACTCATTTGAACGAGTGTTTCCTGAGGTGATTGTTGGGCGACAATGCAAGCCGTGAACGAAATGGGCGATCAGGGTTCTGCATTGTTTGATACACAAAAATCAAGTCCCCTCGAATTCGCCGATACTGTGTGGAGTACAGCCCCAATGATTTCAGTCTTTCCACATAAATCAGAAAGGTCTGTGCTGAGGATACTAACTGACTTTCTGTGTTCGCCCACCAATATCGCCGAAGCGTTGCTGGTGTCTGGTGGGAACATTGGGCATTCAGTGACGACGTTAGTCGTCAAGTTCTGGGTGCTGGTAGTCTTTCCCATAAAGAAAGGAGTTTTAGACTACCTTTGGCGTACATCTGCGCATAGTCTACCTTTGTGTGCTGTCCTAATACGTATTGGACAAGGCTGGCAGAAACATCGCTGCGGTTAGACTATGAATTGATGTAGAGGTACGGAAGAGTTATCTTCGACGCATTCCGTCTTTCCGGTTGGGGCTCAAAGGATATGGACTGTCGTAGCTTTCAGGCGCTAAGGTATATGGCTCAATACGGATGTCAGTGGTGGGAATACTGCACGGTCTGCCTGTTGAAATCCTTTGCACCATAAAAAGATAAACCACCCAAAAATATCAGAAGGGGTTTTACTTTTCATTCTGTAATTTTTTCTTTTTCTCACGTAGTTAGTAGTAGTGGTTAGTTACCCAGATTCTTCTTTTTCTACTTCGTCACGGTGTCGCCATGTTTGTTCTCAGGTCGGTGTTATATATATATAATCTTGGCAAACGTCCCGGAGTTACTGTTGGTCGCATAGCTCATCAAGTAATACTTTGAGAGTAAATACTAGAGCTTAGCACCTCGATATTCATCAGAATTTGAGTGTGACAGGGTTGTGGAATATCGCTGAATCAGGGGGATTGAGCATGATTTAATGTTTTTATGACAAAGTGTGGATTCGTGGAAGAGTATCAGGGATCATATCTTGATTTGAGTGTGATGTAATACCTTGCCGTATGACGAACTCGTCAGCATAGTTGAGGAAAAGAATATCACTAGTGTAGATTGAAAACAGAGTGAAAAATAGCAACTTACTGTTTACAGTGTGCGTTGCTGATGCCGTGTAAAGTAGTTTCTCAACCACCTCGGTAAATTACAGGGGAAACTGAGCGATTCTAGGCTTCAGTGAAGAAGCCAAAAGAAGCTGTTTTAGAGAGTACCCCCTTGGAGAAAGTCTATTCCTGTGCATATCCCTAAAGAAACATTCACAAGGAGCTAGCTTCTTCTGTCTGTTTGACGTAGTTGTCAGAAAAGTTTTATTGGCTGAAGTATTACCTTGGTATTCTTGATTGTAATCATATGGTTTAGCTAATACCGTGGTCCTGATCAAGTTGCGTTTATAGTGAAATGCTGGAAAACATGGACTGAATCTTAGGATCAAACAACAGGTGTTTATTTTTATGGCTGCTTCGAAATCAATCAATTAGCTTACGAATCCCCCCATTCGTTTCTCATTTATTAGGTTTCTGTGTTTAACCATGGTGTTGAATGTGTAGTTTTCTGCATCTCTTCCGTGTTGCGGGGATAATCGTACTTTTGGGACCCTCGTGATGGAACTGCAATATTACTTCGTCACTGCATAGGGGCAGTTTGTTTGCCTCAGGTTATTGACCAGCCCTCTTACGCTGATCCACTTGTGTCTACGCGTAGCGACCTACTTGACTGATTGCAATTTTACCAATGGATGCACATTTTTTTCCAAATCGAAATGTAACAGCTCTCTTTCCCGCTTTCATGGCGTTTCTGTTTACCTTACCTCTCCTTCATTGGTTAAATCAATAAGGGCTTGGAAATGAGCCGCCTGTTAGAAGTGGCTTTGCGTGCCGCTTTGCGTTCCGGTTGTGACTACGTCCTCGTGTTAAATCCACGCGCAATCGGATTGAAACCGAGTCATTTGTCTGCCGCAATCCAATTACTTACTGGCACTCATCAGTCAATCAAGCCGAACCATATTAAGGAGGTAAGTGCAGCGGATTTCATCTCTCTGGTGTTTCGTCCACTCGTACGGATCATTGTTATCATAACCCGTTTTCTAGGCCTGTTTCCGACACCTTTGATATGTCTGCACGTGAAACCTGTCGATGTGTCCTGTTCCCTCCGGATTTATCATGATAGTTAAGGATCGATTTTATTCAGTGTCCTTGTGACCAGGTCAAATATACGCTGTTGATAGTGTTTGATTTATGCGTATCACTGGTAATACCATGCACTCGCGTTTGGCATCATCCTCCCACTACTTTTGTATCCATTGAGTTGCGTATCGCGGAACGCCTTGTGGCTTGAAATTTGTTGAAATTTATATAGGACTCCTTTCTGCGATATACTGTTGTGGTAAGCTAACTTTCACTGTATTATCCCAGTTGATATTCCTAATGTCTTTTCCGTTCCGATAGAGTATTAAATTTAGGTGCCTCCAAGTCTCACATGCACCAGTGCTTTTATGTTCTTTACAAATTCTCCCTGCCTTGCATTGATCGTTGCTTCTAACACTCGTCCCCTGGTAACCAGCTGTTATTTCACCGACGAATAAATTGAGGTTTCAGAATAATGCTCTGACGATTGTAATCAAAGATGGCACCGCTATATTCTATACCATGGCAATTTAGGGCGGATTATGGTTTGGTCATGTAATTTTATCGTGGGGTGAATCATATGTGAGTGCTTTATTTGAGGCTTTTATTGAGACGGGGCCTGCTTATGATGGAGTATAGGGAAGGTATAACCTTCACACCCAGAGCCATTATTAGGCTAAATTTGAGTTCTTTCTGTCGATATGGACATTTTAAAGGCAGAAACTGTTTAATGTAACTCTTGTATCTGACTCGTTTCAGTTTCCCGATCAGTCATATTCCTCACCGGTAGATATCGTCCTCGGTCTTACCACACCGAGTTCGCATATGGGGCGTTCCACGTCCAATATCTGTTCGCCCGGCCCTGTATCCACTGCACTACCCAACAACCCGTTTGCCAGTCCAAGTGGATTATACTTGTTGGGTCTGCGTGCTGGTCGTGGAGTGATGCTCGGTGCACACCAACTGACTTCTTCAGTCGAATGGGCCACCTCAACAACTGGAACTCGATTATGGACAAATTTGTCTCGCTGGTTTTCCAATTGGAATGTGGTTTTTATGCGCGATCGATTGAAAGAGGTCAGTATAACCTATCTATATACCGATTGATTCACTAATCGGGAAACATTACTGAGTAGAAATTCCAACTTTGACTTGTTTGCACTGAGTCAAGTGGCGGAGCGTGATCGCAACTCACATCCATTCACACCATCGTGAATCGTCTCTGCATTCAATGAGGAGAGGTGACCGCTTTGTCTTTAACTTTCTATGCTGGTGAAAAAAAACAAGTCACAATTGTCAGTCATTGCTAGCTGGACTTAACGGACGATTACAAAATGCGTTTGATCTGGCTGAACACCATGTCTGAATTTTCGGGAGAGTTGCAGAGAATTCAAGCGTTTCAGTTGGTTATAACGAAAGTCGGTTCCATTTCTTAAATAAACTGAGAGAAAATATCCCCAATTGCGTCGCAAAACATCCCTTTGAGGAAGCCATATGAATCTAGTAAAGCGAATTGACAGATATGTTGAGAGCGACGATCTGTAACACTCACGATGCCAGTTCAGTGTCTAAGTGAAAATCTGTTTCTTCTTAATACAATTCATGGACAAATAACCATGCGCGGTTGAAGACACAAGTATTTTCACGTTACTTCTCAACTCCTTCCCACTAACTGGCCTCATGAACACATTTGTTCCACGCTAAACTGATCCGATTTGAAGAAAACACTGCATTGTTTCCCAGACGAAGCGGTCAATCTTCGCCTCAGCCGATTGACGCGCTTGAATTCTCCCCAACTATCCCGAAAACTCAAGCCTGACGTGTTCAGCCAGATTAAATGCGCTTTTTAATCGTCCATTTAGCAATGACTGACAATTGTGACTTGTTCTTTTTTGTACGAGCTGCGAAAGGTCCGAACGAAGCGGTTGTCTCTCTTCGCCGTATGCACAGACGATTCACAAGGGTGTCAATGGACCTGTGAATTGTTCTCATGTTCTGCCGTTTGACAAGGTTTCATCGGATTTAAATGCAAATGAACAACTAAATATCGTTGTTTCAAGGTTTGGCAATTCATCTTTCCCCTCTATCGATCAGGCTACTATCATGTCTAAAAAAGCGGGTCTAAGTACGAACAACTGACTGATGTAACTCTTTTTGGCGTGCAGTTGTATTTCCCTAGATACTTGATGGTATGCGATCGTGAACTACCAGAAAAGAATTTAAATTTGATGTTATTTAAACTTTGACATCTTTAGTCATTCCAACAATACATACAATATGCAATATGAATTGCACTTATGTTCCCTGCCCTGTAGTTTGCAACGGCGACTAAATGCCAAATTTTAACGTTAATCACCAGAAACTGATAATTGTTTTTCTGTTCTTCCGCGTCTAGTGCTGACACTTTCCGTTTGGTTTTGGTGCACCTTTGCATCATTCTTCATTCTATAACGTCGCTTATGAAATCGACCCCGCAAGTGTCATTTGATCCAGTCGTAATTTCGTTCAATTTTATCGTATATGTATCAGTTATGGAGTATTGCAGAACTATGGCGTACTTAGAAAGGGAGTACCTCAACCCTACCTATTTGGTACATGTACCCAGGCCATCCACGAGGGTAGATTTGACGTTTGCGAATTTATTACTGCCGCAGTTGAATTCATTTCCACAATCAGACCAAATGACCAGGACAGTGAGCCTCCGCGATTATCTTCAACGCATCTGGCGTATGTGCCACGATTGGTTGAAGAAAGCAGGCTTATCCATCAGCTCGTATTTTAATGAAGCTGATCGGACGACACCCGTTTTCACGAATTTAGATAGCAAGCTTCTCAAAAACAATCCAAATTTCCAATCGGATGCTCTTAACTATATGGGATGGAGACAAATGGAATACAGGTGGATAGGCCCCAGTTCGCTAGTTTCCTTGATGATGAAGCATACGAATGGAGTCTGTAACGGGGTCTGTAATATCTAATGATTGATAATTTAATCAGAAAACTGAAACAGGCTTATCAGTAAAATCTCTCGTTTCAGTCGGACGAGGCGGTCAACGTTGTCTCATAAGTAACTCACGAGGTGATGACTATTCTCTCTAATCTGTTTTAGCATCACGCGACGATGACATTATTTCCCTAACAGAACGTATTTTATCAACTAAACTGTGTTTGAATGAGCGTTAAGAAATTTGAATAAATAAATCAAAAATCGCATGACACTTGTAATTTCACAGTAACTTTTAATGAAATCCACTTTTCTGAGTATTCATTCCGTACTCGTCCACTGGATGTTTCCAAAAATATCAGGTTGATAAAATTTTGTTATTTCAAAGTATTAGTGTGACTAAGACTGACTGGCAACATTCTCATCTGGTTATTTCGTATTGACTTTGACTCATCTTTTGGCCCAGTTTTCAGTACATTGTATTGTATAACTTATACAAGCTTAACGGCTGGCACTGCGGTTGAAAAGAGTTAACACGTCAACGGTCGTAGCGAATACATTGCACACGGAATATCACATGGTATTTTACATGTGTATGAGTCCAGGCAGTTTGCTGAACAAATCACGGCGAAGCAACCTTAACAGCTAAGAAATCAAACAATGATATATTTGAGAAAACTGAAACAAGCATTTCCCGAGATTAATTTCAAAAGAAAAGACCATACAGCAAAATCGTCCTAGACATAAATCGTGCAGTATTGCAATATGGTCTTTTCTTTTGAAATGATATATTCGTAGACGTATTATTGCCAGGCTGCTCAGGCCGGTTCGGGTGGATTTTCTTTGGTTAGGCAAAACCTGATTCGCAAGACAGATGCGCATTTCGTGAAAACCGCAACCCGTTGCAGTCCGGTATCCGGTTTATCAGACGACACATTCTCTTTGGATGGGGTTAAACGTTCAAGGTGCCAAATATACCTCGATACCCAATCAAGTTCATGATCACTGTTACAACTAGGAAGTTATGGATGTATATGGCTTTTAGCAATTTAATATTTCGCGCGGTGCAAGGGAGGGATCACCAGTAGTAGCACACGATACCCATGCCCAACCTTGAGGCTTTCGGGGACACGGGAGATAAAATGTTTGATTGACAAAATAATAATAATAATGTATAATATAATATAATATAATTGAATCATAAATCATTGTCCAAGGTTTGATTGGAGCTCATTAGTTTTGTCTCTCTGTTGGTGAGTACACGTGGTTGATGGGGTACGATAACTCTTATGTATGTTTACACGAGATGGAACAGGCTAGGATTCAAAGCCTGTGCTGGGATGCGAACGATACATGTTAATTCACTGCATGAAGGTTGATCAAGGTCTGAACCAATCCTCTTCCCCAAAATGAGACAAGAATCTAGCAGGCGATCAGAATGTTTCGTAATCAACTTATTTGAGGAAATCGGGGAAACCCGACTAATTATTGATGAATCGCTTAGTAAAACTCAAAAGAAATGGAAACGAAAGAGAGATTAAAAACACCGGCACACAAGGTAGAACTGACTAACTGGAGAGCACGAAATTGTCTTGTTTTTAATTAAAAATTATAGACTTCATAGTTTACCACTACAGATGCGAATGTGATTGCACCAACCATAATTGCTATCCATAAAGACTAAAGCACTTTGGTGCCTTACCACCATGAAATCAATGCGGTTCTCGTCCGTCATGGACGCATCGATTGAAATTTCACCCTTCGACAGTTACTAGTGTACCTTCATGCTTATTGGAAACCAACATTCATTGCGTTCTTAGGTATCCGCGAAGCTTTCGACTCGGTTGATTGGACCGCACTATGGAACTGTTTACTCAGAAATGAGGTGCCTGAGAAGTTCATTTTGCACAACCATTTGGTACTCTGTTGATGCATCGTCCGTTTATGCGATTGTTCCATTGACGTAATCTTGCTCCCTGATTCAGATGAGCCAGGATAACGAGCTCCTTTCGACACCAATACACTTAATTTCCTGCTAGACTGTATTAAACATGCATGCTTATCCTATGTCCTTGGTGTATTTGTCAGTCTCGAAATTGAATCCTGTTTCTTTTGACCCAATGTACAGTTTAACTATCTTCTGCATTCAAATAAGTTCCTTTTTGTCGAGTTTCATCTGATCCCGTGTAATGTCATCAAACCAGATCACACAACCGCCTGATCTACTCTCCGTGGAGCAACACATTGGTCTTGGCATTGATCATCTCTTGGAAGACAGTATTACTGTTATCATTCCCATGGGACCTGGGCATGCGGACGACCTGATTGATCCAGAAGAAGATTTAGAACTGGTTGATGTGCAGAATTCTAAAGCGCTAGCAGTCACATTAGAGCTGGCAGTGTGCAACGCCTCCGGGAAGCGATCTGTTGAAGTGAGTTGAGAAAAGTTGCACCTCTGGACGCTTTCCCTCTTGCGATGCACTGCGCTCATTTATAATTAAAACTTGTTATTGTTTTACCAATACTAATACTATTACGCATACAATTATGCTGTGCTTTGCGAATCATGCCAGTCGTACTCCCCGGGGAACATTTGAAGTGTAGTACAATTGGGGAATTCGGGTTTTACGAAGTATCATCGATGCGCATCCATTTGGGACTTAAATCCAAATGACCATTTTAGATGGACCTACTGCAATCAAAATATGTTGCAGAATGAGATTATCATACCTCATTTCTCAACCAAGCTTTGCACCATCATCATTTGTAGAAAATAAAATGTTTCCACATTCGTTGACCTCAGAATATTCTGATACTTTTTGATCTGACTCGCGTACAGCGGCATGACTAAAGTTGGTGCGTCGAGGTTAAAGGACCACTGTGGTGGCTAAATGATTGTGGGTTTTAGATAAAGCTCGAAGGAGAAAGGTGTAGCAGTTTCCCTAACTCTCAGGATTTTTATTAATATTAATAACGCTGCTTATGTGAGGGAAAATGTTACCAAAAACTTTTGAACGTTCCTCTGTTACTAGTCCGCTCTTTTTGTTTCACAATAGTCAAGTCAAGTCAGTAGTAGCTTTATGCACACAGGTGGGTGAATTTTCAGCATTTACTGTAATTAGCAGTTTAAAGACTGAGACCCGTAGGGACGAGGGCCTATTGTTCGGTTACAAGAACGGACGGCGTATTAAATAACCTGATAGAATAGGCAAAATGAGCTTTCACAATGATTAATTTCACCGTTTGTTTCTGGTGGCTTACAAATGACAGGCCCTTTAAATGTTCTTCAAAATTCAGAATTTCTGCTCTGTTTCTCATCATTTTTTTTATTAACTCTTTAATGTGCGTTGTCGTTACTATATTTTCAAAGCAATACGCCTCTTGGTTTGTACAACTATTTCTCGAAGAAGATTTCAATGATAATTTGGTTTTAACTCAATGAATAGATGATCGAACCAATCATCCACTTACCTATTTTCCCACTCATTTATATTCATACACGATTGGGTTTCTCCCGCTTGAGTAGATACAATCATTCCGCTATCCATCCGGTTATTCTTATTTGATAGATAATCATAATTACCAGTGAGACGTCATCGCGCTCGAGGTCGCATTCTGTCAGCACTCCACCTATCATGGATCCATTATCACCAGATTCCCTACGCGGTCCATCCTTATCCCGCTCCACACGCCTGCGACCGATGATCAAGGTGTCGGTGCATCACTACATGCGATCGGGTCCAAGCACCACTGAGGCTTCGTCCCCTTCCATTCCGTCTGACACTTATCCCAGACGTGGCGAATTGATTCGTTACGCTGCAGAACATCTGGCGAGAGGATCGATGCTTGTTTTTGTAGAACCGGGTAATCATCAGATTCCATGTTGAATCATTGAAATTTATGCGTTAATATCTTTTCAAAAGCCGAGTAACGGATTTATTCCATCTAGAAGTGAACACTAAGCCTCGAAAACAGTACATGTGGTACGATTGTTTAACAAACAGACGTCAGTAATCAATGCAATCGGGGTTTCTAATTTACTCTGCATAGCCTGACTGCCAGAAGTCTGGAAACCACAATTTCATGTGTTGAATATAATGTGGATTGATTGTAGCTCGGGATGTGGATGTTGCAAACAACAATTTTAGCTGGGAGAACACCAACACCATCAACAGCATCTCGAGGTATAATCATTCAACATTACCGGACATTAATATTGATATTCGTCTATCCAAGGGTAGCGTTCCATGGAATTTTTCTAGATTATTATTTCATTCAGTTTCAGTCTAAAATCCTCCCTTCAACTTTCTATTGAGGTATTTAGAAAGACCTAGGTTTAAAAAAATTGTATTTCTTAACGTTTTTTTCTTGAACCCTGAATGCTCATGTGGCATACTCGGTTTTTGAGACGCAACTGCAAATAAAGCAGTTTTTGTCAAACATTGTCTAACTACTCATGAGTAGCTGACGTTGCTACGTGACAGATCTAATGCTGGTTTCGATTGGAACAGTTATTCTTAAACATTGTTGATGTATTTCCTTTTTATTCCCCTTTTCCCGACCTTGAAAAAACTTAAAAGCCATTCGTCGTGGCCAAGTGATAATCAGTCGTGATTTCATTTGATTCATTAAATATAGAACTTATTGGTCTCATCAACCCTTGCCAATAAATTCTAGACGACCCTCTTCATCCACTGCACCCTGATTTATCCTCTTGTCATTCCCTTCCGCCTACGCGCTCCTCCGTTTGGCATCCACCTTTTATTATTAAAATTTCCAAGAATTCTCTTGTACCCTACCTGGACCGACTCCTAACCAATAAGGAACAGGTCGTTAGTGCAATACATCAGAATTCGCGCATATAAAGCAAACTCCAGCGACATTCTTCATGTTGTTTATTGTAAAAAAATGTATATTTTATTTATCTTAATAACCAGTGTATATGTTTGACCAAGATGTAAGGATATAAACTTATCCAAGTTTCACAAATACAAAATATGTGATCGTCAGTAGATTGGTTGAATCCCACATCTACCGCTCAGTGATGGAAAATGACTGTCCAAGTGCATCGTAGTGAGATGTCTAAACATATTGTGCACATAGACCGGTAAATCAAGAGATCTCGCTTACCAGTCATTTCGATTCCAAAACGGTCCAAGTCGATACCTCAGTTTCGGCGATAAGGTGATCTGGAGGCAGACTATCAAATGGGTCGGTTAATTGAAGCACGAAATGGGCCTTTGTAGCAAAAGGAATGTGTTTGGGTTGGTGGTACTGCGATATTTCGGTGAGCTCGTAACGAGCACACTGGACAAGACCCCTTTGGAGTGGATATGACTGTTTTGGTCAACACCAACACACCGTTGAGCGAACGTGTGGACGTGAGCCGTTGGCAGGTGGCTTTGACCCGAGCCCTGGATAAGTTGTTGCGCCAAATTCCACTAAGGTCATAACTACTTCGAATTTTACCACTCTTTTTGTTTGTATTGCAAATTTTTAAGCTTTGGAAAATGCATTTACTATTGGCTCCCAAAAAAGCCAGAAAGAACAGCGTTTGCACTGAACAGAAAAATTCAGTTCTAATTACCTACAAAATACTGAATTTTTTAAAATTTTATGATCCTCAAATTCTCTACTGGTTTCTGTTTGCAGGGTCGATTGTAATCAATCCATTGATACCTAATAAGCTATTTTAGTTCGCTGGTGACATGTGGTACCAACAGTTGTCATATTGCCTGAAGCGAAGCTGGGAATCATGTGATAGAGTCAGATGCGTTGTCGTTGATTTCATTGCAAACAAGAGAAAACTGGTTGTTTGTTGACTGGGAAAAAAGGCAAAGTGGTTATATTACTTTCCTTGATCCACACAAGCCTCTGCGTCGGTGCAAAAATCAAGAAAAATCCCTGCGGTCGTTTATTTCTGTGATAAAAGTTTGGTATTGACGCAATGTTGAGAAATGTAGAAAAAGTAATACGGCTTGGAAAACGAGCTTGAAGTTCAACCCTGAACACAAATTTGTTACAGACAATCGTTGATGGTAAATATAGTCCACAAGCAGTTCATTATAATACCCACAAGCTGAAAGAAGCTATTTTTATGTTTCGATCTAGTTTTGGTATGATTGCTTTACGACTGGGTGCCTGCATTCGGAAACAGTCAAGAAGAGGGTAGTGGATATATATATATATATATATATATATATATAC